GTAATATACTTGTTCCTGTCATAATAATATAACGGATGTCGGATTATAATAATGACGATATGGTACTCATATTTAACTCATAATATGGTACTCATATTGTGACTTTTAAAATTTGTGGATTGTGCCAGAAACTCATAGGCCAAGGATACGTGTTTTGGATGTTTCGTAAGAGTTCACTTTGATTCACACAATTCAGGACAGTGGCACATTTGTGGATATTTACTACTTATGGTGGATAATACTAATGGATCAAAAGTCATCCTTTGGGTAACCTTTTTTTGAGCTCTCAGACTGGATTGTTCCAAGATCACTTAAAGGACAATCGGTGGACATTGCTTCTTTGTTCCCAAAGTTTTCAAAAAAGCTGATAATAGTATCAACATTGAAATCGATTCAAATGGTATAGATTTTACGAAAGAGTGTGAGGTCCGTTATCTCGGACTTCATTTTGACATCACCCATTCGTCATTAAAACAAAATATTAGGGTATTTATCGTCAGTACAGGAAAATAAAATAATTATATGGATGTATAAAGAAATAGGTTCATATTGGCATTTTATTTTTATAGGTATCTATGAAAGCAATATAGGATCCATCGTTAAATAATTTATTTATTTATTGTTATCTTTTGACGTTTTGTGCTTGCGAATCCCGTTTTTAAACCCCACTGTTCTTTACTAGGCTGTACTGCTTTTCGTTATTATGTTATTTAAAGGATAATGTGTTTCCATTGTTTATTTCAAAATTAGAAATTGCCATACTCGTTACTTGTGGATTTTAAATAATCCATGACTCCCAAACCGGGTTAAAATTTATGAAACCAGAACCTCGGAAAGGAATATTCTTCTCGATCAAATGTTGGAGCTGAACAAAAGCTGGTTAGATTTACAATACACTGAATTATTAGTCACTTGTTGGAATACGATTCACTTTTGAAACAAATAATCAACTTATCGCCGTTGGATAGTATTTTAAGATGTTATAACCTCATGAAAATATTGTATTAACCTAATGCCCATTCCACGTGATCAATGCCTTCCACATTTCACAGCCACCATATTGTTAACAGTTATTTGTATTGACTTTAATTATTTAATGAAATTCAATGAAATCGGTAACAGACTATTTCTTAACTATTCTTCTAATTTCCTCCAAGCTTGAACGAGCCGTTATCCTGTATTGTAATATAGGTAGACTAGCTGGCCCGTGCGAATAATTCGAATAAAATATTTGTCGATGAACAACTGTATGGAAGTATGTTATTAGGAGGTGGGAGAAAATCATTTCTTGTTCGAATTCAAGTAGTATATTCATAATAATAAACCAAAACGTTAATATAATCTATTGTAGTCTATGTCTTTGCTCATAATGGTCCCACTTCGATTTCTTTTTATTTGGTAGAAAATTATGTAACGTTTCAACTAATCATAGATGTAATATACCGTAAATTGCATACCTTTTCTGTTATCGCCAAATGAAGTTTTTTTTTTTTTTATGTTTGCCTTTTTTTTCCTCAAAGATGTTGAGGATTGTGACAAATGGAAGAAGACAACCCTTAAAATAATTGGAACTAACGAAGATATGGCGAAACAAAAGAAATAAAACACCTGTGAGAAATAAAACTTAGTATATTTTTATTTATTTCTAATAATTGGGACTTTCCAACCACACACAGGTCATTTTAGCTCTTACATGGTTTAAAAAACGCTGCAAATTATTACAAAATGATATATTATTCCCAAGCAATGATATATCAAATGTAACATTACTTTCCTTGTAACATAAAGAAAACATAAATAAAAGTGATTCCTAATATTTCTTCTTAAATAATTTTTTATTTCATCATTAGTAGTTTTCTAAGAAAAATAAAACACTTTGCTTCAGTTTATATAACACTTTGAGGATATTATAAACCAAAACAAAGGAAATAAGCTTTGAGGTAGAAAATATGAAAAATATATCTTTGTACCAAATTGTCCGATTTCCACGCTTTTTTTTTTTTTAATTTTAGGATTTTGTTAAAATTTTAAAAAGTGTATAATTTTTGAGTTATTCAGAAATTGGATTTTACGACCCCTTTTTTTCATCTTCGTAGTAAACTTTTACATATGAGTAATATATTTTGAGAAAATAATTTATGCTGAGGTTGGAAAACTAAAGAACAGTCAAGTGCATAACATACCGACTGCTTGACTGCTAGAAGGAGCAGTTGAACTGCTACACTAACCACACGATCGCCAAGTGCAGTCCCGACCGGTGACCTTTGTAGCTTACATAATCTGGGCAGGGCTCCTTGCGTACGTTCACCCTCTAGCCAATCCATCACAGGCTTGCGGCAACTTGAGGAACAGAATTATAGTTTTTTTTTGGTAACATTGCATTTTAATTCTCTCAATGAATCCAATGGAATAAATCTGATAGAATCCTTCATATTTCTAAACGGGAATGTTCTAACTTGAAGAACTTATAAATAAAATAAAATTATGGAATGTGATATACCTTATTAATTACTGTCACCAATTTAAAAAGTATAATTAATTATTCAAAAGTACTGATAAAAGAACTGTATTTTTTCTGTTCTTTGGCCTTTTTTTTTTTGGTCCAGTAGCTGGAGTGATGAGACTGAGTGAGAGACGCTCGGATCTCCTAGAATCCTTGCCTTGGTTCCACGAATTATTTTGTATAAAAGTATGTTTATATTAAAATTGTTATTTTTACTCGTTTAGTTTCTTTTTTCTTTTTTTTTAAATAATACATTTACTTTTAATATTATTATTATATTTATTTATTGTACATAGAGTGTTAATGAGCTAATCTATCACTGTTACAAATCTTCTTAAATGTGACTAACTGTAATATTACGCAATAAAGACGTGTAAATATAAATTAAAAAAACAAACAAAAAATACTGCTCTACTGCTACTAAATGATAATTTTTCTTTGGATCATTATAAAGTATACAAAATAAATCTGTACCCCGGAGGTAAAGTACGCCATGTTAAATTTTTGTTTCAGTTTTCGAAGATTTTTTTTTTTTAAATACATGCAGCTATTTGTGAATAATAATCGAAAAATGAGACTTTAAAAACACAAAACATCAGATCCATAAAAATATTTTGTCCCTATAGAGGTTTTCCAATCAGAGAAAAACTGGAAAAATAATTTTATTTCGGATTAATCTAAGGAGTATACATTATATGTATATATGAGGTACTCACACTTTCCACACAACAGAAAAACAATTACGCCATTATTAAAAAAAAAATAGAGCGTATTGACTTAAAAAAAAAGCGGTTAGTGTTATGAAAATCTAAAGGAATATTTCTTGAAGTAAAACGGAAACATGTTCACTTTTAATTAGTTTTTAGATTAACGTGAATTCTAAAAATGCCCTGAACATTCCGAATGCTAATTGGAAATACATTGATTTGTATATAAAGTCAAACTTTAAAGAAAAAGATTAGAGGATTTTCAAAATAAAACAAAAATGTACATTGAATGGAATATACATTGAATAGAAATGGACAGATGGAAAGATGTAAAAAAAATTAGTGTGAATGAATATATCAGATATATTTTTGCGCTTAGTATTTAGAATATACCAGAATAATTTTCAGAAAACCTTTATGTAAATCTCAATGAGTGAATTATGTATTTTAAAACTAGCAATCCTGAGTATTAATTATGTTTTCTTTCACTTACTTATACATATATGTTTTAACTGTATATGAAATACATAGTAAGTGAAAATGTTACGATAAAGGAAACTTTTTTTTCCGTGATAAGATCTTCTGAGTCTAAATAAGCAAGTCTCGTGAAAACTCGTGAGGTGTTTTAAAAGTGTACGTGTCTTACGTGCCACCAACGTTTCTTTATTTTATTTGATCGGAGGTGTCACTTTACATCATCGACACATTTTTACAATTTATTAGTTTTCTAGATAATTGCTATTTTTTCTAACAATTTTTCAAGAATAATGCTGTTCTAACAATTTTTCTAAAAACGATTTTGTTTTATTGTAGATATCACAAAAGAAATAACAATAATAATAGGTTTTGTTGTATATATTTTAGGATATAAACTTCTATCCTTCACATTCTAAAATATAAACAACAATAGAATAATATATATTGGTATCTATACCTTCAATATTCGATTACAACTTCAAACTTACTGTGATAAAACAATGTTTCATTTAAAATTGTCTTAATCCAAGTAATGAGTAGGTACCTCTCTGCAATAGTAGCAATAGCCTGAATAAGTTATTGACAAAACAAATATAAATTATTAAAAATATGATTATTAAATAATGTTAAAACACTAAATACTATTATAAATTAATAATCTTTTTTATTTAAGCTTATCAAAAACATATTAAACATAAAAAACAATAACATAACACGATATATTTCTTTTTTATACCATTCAAGTTCTTTTACATAAAAGTTTTATAAAGACTGACTTAATTCCCGTAGACATATTATTTAATTGCTGATGTAACTGCAAAATATTTTATCAATTTAAGGTTAAAAACATTTAAACGTTAGCAATATCTTTAGTATTTAGATAATGGCTTATTTTAGCAATTCACATTCACACAAAACCGCCTTGGTAGTCGCATATTATCGGAAAATTAATCTGATAACATGGTTTATGATAACTGCTACAAAAAGACAACAAACAGAATTTTTACGAAAACTATAATCTCTTATTTAAATTGGTATGAAATTAATAAAATAGTTTAATTACTTTTTTTATTTATTCAGTAACAACATTCTGTCACACGAACAATAATTATATTGAGGTTAGACCATATATAATATAGATATGCACACCATAATTTAATTATTAAACTAACACATCACTTATAAGATTTGATGATACTTTTAATCAATTTATTAGACAGCTCGTCATGATGGAGTTGTTGAAATCCTGAGGCAACCCTGAGGATGCTGGGCGGGCCGAGGTAAATGCCAGACGATCTGTAGTCGTTGTGGTTTCAACACGAACTAGCCAATAATGTGTAGCGTCGATCCGCCTTCTTATATGTCAACCAGAAACCGAAAACTGGAGGCAGTGATTGCAGTTCGTCTTCTTGACCGTGATCCGGTTCCAGCTCCAGAGGTCCAGTATAAAGCCGCTCCCTCTCCGGCGGACTGCACACAGTTCTCAGCTCTCCAACAGCAAACATGTACAAGATCGTAAGTCATAAAATATATGAACATTAAGTTTAGTAACTCATTACCGAATCGTTGATGCATAAAAAGTGGCAGTAATCATTAAAATAATAAATAAAATGTATCTGTTCTAGGCAATTCTTTTCGCCTGCATCGCTGCAGTCTCAGCCGGAGGGCTTCTACATGCTCCAGCTGCCGTATCATACGCGGCTCCTGCTGTTTCATATGCTGCTCCAGCAGTGTCCTACGCCGCTCCAGCAGTAGCAACCGTAGCTCACGCCCCAGCGATCTCTTACGCAGCTCCTGCAATCGCTGCTGCTCCTGCAATCAGATACGCAGCCGCTGCTCCCGCCATCAGGTACGCTGCTCCAGCTGTGTCCTATGCCGCTCCAGCTGTGTCCTATGCCGCTCCAGCTGTGTCCTACGCCGCTCCAGCAATCGCAGCTGCACAGCCATCAGGTACGCTGCTCCAGCTGTTAGATACGCTGCCGCTCCAGCTATCAGATACGCCGCTGCTGCTCCCGCTGTATCCTACGCTGCTCCAGCAATCGCCCATGCCCCAACCACTTACTCTAGCTCTTCCTTCGTGGCTCACCATGCTCCTATAGCTGTTGCCCATGCCGCCCCCGCTGTCTCTTACGCCGCGCCAGCAGTGGCTACTGTTGCCCATGCTCCAGCTGTTAGCTATGCTGCTCCAGCAGTCAGCTATGCTGCTCCAGCCATCGCCGCTGCTCCAGCAATCACCACCGTCGCTCATGCCCCAGTCGCAGCTGTCGCCGCTCCCGCAGTCTCCTACGCCTCTCGCCCACTCGCCTATGGTGGTCTCTACGGTAGCAGCTACGGTAGCTACGGTGGATACGGTCTTGGCTACGGATATGGTTCCACTCTACTTCATCATTAAGCACCAACTTAAAGACTTGTACCTGAACTTTACACATATTTAGTTATTTATCACAATCCCTTTTTTTATTTATGCCTCTTGTATATATTTTGTTGATTAAATAGATGTTTTGTTATTTAAGCTTTTTGCTACTTATCGTTTACCTTCTTTTTACTCATAATGATTGCTATTCATACTTTTTTACTACCAGAGAACGGTTTCATAATAGATAAGTACAAACTAATCCTGTTAGATTCGGAACTGTAGCTAGTACTATTCAGTTTCATAAATTTAAATCTCCGCCCTAACCCCCTGGCCCGGGAAAGCCCGTATAGCCTTAAAGTCGAGGAAGGGAAGTACACCCCCAAAAAACATTCCGTTTCATAAAAACAAAATCCAAACCACGAGTTTTGAAATAGAAAGTACAGGCTAAATGATAATGTTTTTACTAGATCACCTTAAAATTAATTATTTCTTGATAAGTGTAAATTTGTTGTGAGGAGACAGAGATAAAAAATAGTAATAAATCTTTAAAATTAATTGCAGTTAAAACAAATTTATCCTTTATTTGACTCTTTTACTTGAATATGTAACAGAAACAATACTGATAAACATTTTATAAGTTATTATTATTTCAAAGGTTTTAGGCGATTTGATATTTGACACATTAGTCATAAGAACTAATTTTTTTTTACAGTAAAATCAATAATTACTGTCTCTATTACCATTTTATTTAGTCATGTTTTGGATGGTTTTTTTTTTTCTACTTTTTCAACAAAAACAAATAGAACACATAAGAATTATGTGTTATAGTTCATAATCAGCGTCCTTAAGAAAGAATTAAATTATTATAATATAAAGTAAAGTAATGAGACTTAATAGATAACGGACCAAGAGATTCTCGTCAAACAAATAGCCCAGTAACCTTGTACATCGTAAGTTGCATTGAATGAGTGTAGAAGGTTTATTTATTTTTTTCTTGAATGTGATATGACTGATATGCAAAATCCAAGTTTTCGACCTCGGCCCCCCCCCCTCTCCGGATCACTTTTGAACATCCCAAAAAATGCTATATTATCGCACTTTGTTCGATTTTCTCCATTTTATTCATGAAGGAGCGTGTTTTTGACAAAAAAAAAAAAAAAAAAAAAAAAAACCAAAAGCATTCCATGCACTTTTAAACTAGATTAAATATGCTACAATTTAACACCAGAACGGGCTCAATAAATCAAATAGTTCACGAGATACGGATTTTCTATTTTAATTTTTTGTCATGTTTGATCAAATGAAATTGTCTTCAATAACCTGTATGATATGAGTCAGCTATGTAAATATTTATTCATATTAATATTTTGAAGGAGAGGTGATGAAGGGGGGAGGGAGATTTGAAGGATGTGGGTAGTCCGTTGACCATACCCTCCTTACGCACACCCTCCCTCCACATCACTATAAATTGCATATCGTTGTATTCGTTGTAACTAAGTATTAAAAAAAGGCAATGTCCCCACAATAAAACCGGCCGCACTGTCCCAATATGGCTTCCAAACAAGACTGACTGGCTTAATTTCGTCATAATTAAAGCATACAAAAAAATTATTGGCTTTGGCAATAAAAAATAACAGTAAAGTCAATTTTTTAAAGGTGTTCGAACTAAATTTGAAAATCAAGCGCCATTTGTAATTGAACGGCCAAAAACACGAAAAATGCCCTAAAGTAAAACATCTAGAGAGTATATTTGTCTTTTTACATCACTGGTTAATTTGTAATATATTTGGGTTCTTTAGAAAAAGCACTTAATCGGAGGAAAAGCGGCATCGGCGTAGGCGCCTACAGTTATTTTCAGTCGCCTAAAGTATCTGATATTTTCATAGCCCCTTATAAGGGTTTTTTAAAGAAGGCAGTTGGTTTACTTAACCTACATTTTGTATAGCCTCTTTTCACAAAACAAATATGAAATCAAATGTACAAAAGTACATAAATCCAGCGTACCTAAATGGAATTTAATGAAATTGACAGGAGAACATCCAGACACCAACCCGCACAACCCTATGTAAATATTCGATATTTACATATATACTGAAAAGACAATTGTTTATAATCCCGTTTTTTTTTTAATAACGAATTCAATTTATCCCAAATATTGGGCACTTAAACGAAACTTCATAGACCTTGAAACATATTTAATTGTGAATGAAATGGTAAAGATACTGACCTTACTTTTCTTGAATGGCAGACGTTTTCTTGGCCTTACTCTTGAATAACGTTCATAATTTATCTTTTAACTTGAATTTAATTTATCTTTGAACTCAGTTTGAATGTGGTCTCTAACCGTGTTTATTGTCCAAGTTTGTTTTGCTTTAAGACTTGACAGTTTGATTGAGTAATTTAAATTTGTCTTTTGCTTTTTAATACACACTAATATTTTTCTCCCCTACGATTAAAATGTTTTTTTGTTTTATCAACGTTGCACCTGGTCTAACATGCGATGATGGGTTCTAGTAGATGTGGTCCAGTTGAACATCTTATATATCTTTTTTTTTTCTATTAACGTGTGGATCTTGTAGGTATATATTCCCCTCTGATTATTAAACATACATTCCATCTTTATTGCTTACGGTAAAAATTTTCGATTCTGAGTCCAACTTTTTTTAACTTCCCGCACCTTAATATAAATGTGACATTGGCTTGTTTATTTAGGGTTGAAATGTTCTATCCAACGTAAGCTCTTTCCATAATAAATAGAGCATATCAGAAGCAACAGTTAAACATGAAATTACGACATATGACAATGATTTAACTTAAATAGCACATACAAGATGTTAGAAGATAAAATTTCACTTTAAAAAACAACAGTTACACTACATCCAGTTTTAATAAACATGAATAACAATCTTTATGATTAAAACCAAGGTAAACAATAAGTAGCAAAAAGCTTAAATAACAAAACAACTATTTATTCAACAAAATATATACAAAAGGAATAAATAAACAAAGGGATTGTGATAAATAACTAAATATGTGTAAAGTTCAGGTACAAGTCTTTAAGTTGGTACTTAATGGTGAAAGAGAGTGGAACCATATCCGTAGCCAAGACCGTATCCACCGTAGCTACCGTAGCTGCTACCGTAGAGACCACCATAGGCGAGTGGGCGAGAGGCGTAGGAGACTGTGGGAGCGGCGACAGCTGCGACTGGTGCATGAGCGACGGTGGTGATTGCTGGAGCAGCGGCGATGGCTGGAGCTGCATAGCTGACTGCTGGAGCAGCATAGCTAACAGCTGGAGCATGGGCAACAGTAGCCACTGCTGGGGCGGCGTAAGAGACTGCGGGTGCGGCATGGGCAACAGCTATAGGAGCGTGGTGAGCCACGAAGGAAGAGCTAGAGTAAGTGGTTGGGGCATGGGCGATTGCTGGAGCGGCGTAGGATACAGCGGGAGCAGCAGCGGCGTATCTGATAGCTGGGGCGGCAGCGTATCTAACAGCTGGAGCAGCGTACCTGATGGCTGGTGCAGCTGTGATTGCTGGAGCGGCGTAGGACACAGCTGGAGCGGCATAGGACACAGCTGGAGCAGCGTACCTGATGGCAGGGGCAGCGGCTGCGTATCTGATCGCAGGAGCAGCAGCGATTGCTGGGGCTGCGTAAGAGATCGCTGGGGCGTGAGCTACGGTTGCTACTGCTGGAGAGGCGTAGGACACTGCTGGAGCAGCATATGAAACAGCAGGAGCAGCGTATGATATGGCAGCTGGAGCATGTAGAAGGCCTCCGGCGGAGACTGCAGCGATGCAGGCGAAAAGGATTGCCTAGAACAGATATATTTTGTTTATTATTGTATTGATTACTGCCACTTTTCATGCATTCACGATTCTGTAATGAGTTACTAAACTTAATACTCATATATTTTATGACTTACGATCTTGTACATGTTGTACTTATGATCTGGAGCTGGAACCGGATTATGATCAAGAAGACGAGCTGAAATTCGGTATATGAATATTGAACACGCCAGTGATTGGGATGATCGAAATATATCTCACATTCAGCGGATATCATACATCATAATATTAATATTGTAATATTAATACTCTTATTTTCGGAAATTGATATTTAGCCTATAAAAATATTTCTCCAATACACGTAATACTGAAATTTATACAAACAAGCGCACTCACAGACACACATATATATGTATGTATGTATTAACAATTAGAAGACCTTCAATTATTTCTTATAATCAAAATTAAATGTACTTTAGACGAAGCGGGATTCAAGTGATCTTTAATGTTATATATAAATCTGTGGAAAACACATCAATCACACGGCCGTGATAGGTACTTTCTTCCCTCGATATATTTTTCATATAATAAGTAAGAAAAAGTAATAATTTTATTCAAGGAATAATAGTTTTATTAAATATGAGTTATCGATGAATTGAGTAAAGGATTTTTTTTTTTATAAAATTCTGTTCTTTTCTAAAAACTAAACTCCATTTGACATAACTAGTTTATCCATTCACACTGCATTCATTACCTCTTTGGTAGTTTAGTTCTTCATGGACCTTGAATATGTTTTTTCGTTGAATGCTGGGAGTCGATTGTTTTCACGATCCTAACATTTTCTCTTACTAAATTTTTCATGTATGTGTAAGTGGAAGTAATTAAAAATTCAAATCATGCATGTGAATACAATCCGCGAATTTCACGAATGTTTGGTCACATATTTTGGTTTATTATTTTCAATAATGAACTATTGTGATCGAACAGAAAATTCAAAAACTTAACCACCCCCCCTCCAAATTGGAGATTTCACGTTTCAGGATACATAGAATTCGAAAAACAAATAAAAATTTTGTATTTCATCCGCAGTTGGCCATCTGCTCATTACTGGACCGATTTTTCGAAAACAATTGGTTATTTAAAAGTTTACATAATTTCCTAAAAAATTAAATCGGAATTAAATCGTTAAAATCGGACAACTATGAGCAAACATATGGTCTCTAGATGTATTTTATATATTGTACTGCA